AAAGACAAACCTTTTAATATGAATATAAGGCCAGGGCCTTCTTTCTTGGACGATCAAATGTGTGCTTCTTGCCTCATGTTGACCGCACCGTTTGTTTAACTCGTTCGCCTATTTCCCCCTCTTTTTCTTTTTGACTTTTTTGTCGTAGGCCCTCGGTGCCATTTTTTCTGGAACTTGGATCGAGTTGTAAGCATCGAGTCTCGACTGTTCTAAGTTTTCTGAACTCCAGGGCGTGGTTTGCGAGCAGTCATTCCTCTTTGGGCTATCTTGCCTGATAATTTGAAGAAATCGAACCCCCAGTTCCAATAGTCTATCAATGTCATGGCCGTAGGTCAAGACGCAAGGAGATGTGTTTACGACCGAATTTTTTGAGGTGCGGCGTGCTAAAAGAACTTGAGGAAATAAGTTGCGCCAAACCCTGGGTTTCCTTGATAGGTACGGCTTTGTGTCACCTGGCGCCCCCGGCTGCCCCCGTGTTAAGCCGTTTTTCATGATAGGCCGGATATCTTCGAACTGAAACCCTTGAAAAGGCCTCTCCCGTTGCGCATCGTTTCGCGGCTTTACCTGCTGGGTCGTTCCAGCAAAGGGCTTGGCCGCTGCAACTGAGCCGGGTGGTATCTGAGGAACGTCGTGGGCTTGACCGAGGTACGTTTGATTCGCCGGCCATCGAGGTACGGCCACCTGGTTCTGTTGGATCGCGTCATAATGGGAACCTAGGTGCGCCTGCGTTATCGTCGGAATGGCCGGATCGTATATTTACAGTGGTAGTGCAGCGGTCAAGCCATTCTGATCGTATTGTTGTGATGGAGCTTCGGTCACGTTGCTCTGGCCGGGTGGCGCTCGGTCGGCCAAAGTATAGGTTGGGCCGAATTGCTGGACCGTAGACAATGCAGGGTTACCCTGCCCTAACGCTTTGGCCAAAGCATGGAGTGGGCCACATGCTGTCTCTGCCGGGTAGGTTGGTCCGGGATTCGCCCATGTGGGCTTGAACTGCCCCCAATTTTTCGTCGGCGGTGGAGAATGCTGGCCGTATCCTGACGCTTGGGTTCGGCCAGAGATGTCGAGGCTGCTGCTTTCGTCTTAAGGCTCGATCCTTTCACGCTCTTGGCTTCTCTGTCCGGCCCTAGTAGGTGTTGCGGGCGAGGTCGCCGGCATCCTTTCCTGGAAGAGCGTCTGCAGTCCCGAGGAGAACCTGTCCATTGCGGCTATAAAGGATGTCTCTATCCTGTGGGCCTGCTTAGACATGAGATCTTCCACCACGGCTTGCTCCTGTATGGACTCGGCCGTGCGATCCGTCATCACTGGGACGCTGGCCGAGACTCTAACCGCGTGTTCGGTCTCGGTGACAGTGATTGGTGAGGTGGACTCATGAGTCTCAGAAGTCATTTCGACTGCTTTGTTTTTGAGCTTTTCCTGTGCCCTAGTTTCCACCATGAGTTTTTGACAAGAGTCCCACTGGGCGTGCCAAAAGTGTTGGCTGCGCAAATCTCACAGCCTAGGGTTCCTGGCCGAAGGGATGTGCGTTAACACGTGGCTTCCTGCTTTTGGATGCGGTGCGGTTGTGCGCGGGCGTACCAGCACGGTCTACCGTGCGTCGATATGGTGATGTGGATGAAAATGGTTAAGTGGTGCGCCTGTTTGAGTTCGACTCCTAATCAAACGATTGTGGCCGAGAGAGGAACTGATCTCGGTCGTCAAGTTCACGGCCTGAGCTACAAGGCCGTTTAATGGTGGTGTTGATGGTGGATTTTGGGCGTTGCT